ATACATATATATATATATATATATATATATATAAACACACACACACACACATATATATACAAACCGGATTCCAAAAAAGTTGGGACACTAAACAAATTGTGAATAAAAACCGAATGCAATGATGTGGTGATGGCAAATGTCAATATTTTATTCGTAATATAACATAGATGACAGATCAAAAGTTTAATTTGAGTAAATGTAACATTTTAACGGAAAAATATGTTGATTCAAAATTTCACAGTGTCAACAAATCCCAAACAAGTTGGGACAAGTAGCAATAAGTGGCTGAAAAAAGGAAATTGAGCATATAACGAACAGCTGGAAGACCAATTAACACTAATTAGGTCAATTGACAACATGATTGAGTATAAAAAGAGCTTCTCAGAGTGTTAGTGTCTCTCAGAAGCCAAGATGGTAAGAGGATCACCAATTCCACCATTGTTTCACAGAAAGACAGTGCAGCAATACCAGAATGGTGTTACCCTGCGTAAAATAGCAAAGACTTTTAAATTATCATCATCAACCGTGCATAACATCATCAAAAGATTCAGAGAATCTGGAACAATCACTGTGTGTAAGGGTCAAGGCCGTAAAACTCTACTGGATGCTCGTGATCTCCGGGCCCTTAAACGTCACTGCACCTCAAACAGGAATGCCACTGTCAAGGAAATAACAGAATGGGCTCAGGAATACTTCCAGAAAGCATTGTCAGTGAACACAATTCACAGTGCCATCCGCCGTTGCCAGCTGAAACTCTACAGTGCAATGAGGAAGCCATTTCTAAGCAAGCTCCACAAGCTCAGACGTTTGCACTGGGCCAGGGATCATTTAAACAGGAGTGTGGCAAAATGGAAGACTGTTCTGTGGTCATATGAGTCACGTTTTGAAGTTCTTTATGGAACACTGGGACGCCATGTCATCCGGACCAGAGAGGACAAGGATAGCCCAAGTTGTTATCAACGCTCCGTTCAGAAGCCTGCATCACTGATGGTATGGGGTTGCATGAGCGCTTGTGGCATGGGCAGCTTACATGTCTGGAAAGGCACCATTAATGCAGAGAACTATGTTCAGGTTCTAGAACAACATATGCTCCCATCTAGACGTCATCTCTTTCAGAGAAGACCCTGCATTTTTCAACACGATAATGCCAGACCACATTCTGCAGCAATCACAACATCATGGCTACGTAGGAGAAGGATCCGGGTACTGAAATGGCCAGCCTGCAGTCCAGATCTTTCACCTATAGAGAACATTTGGCGCATCATAAAGAGGAAGGTGCGACAAAGAAGGCCCAAGACGATTGAACAGTTAGAGGCCTGTACTAGACATGAATGGGAGAGCATTCCTATTTCTAAACTTGAGAAACTGGTCTCCTCTGTCCCCAGACGTCTGTTGAGTGTTGTAAGAAGAAGGGGGGATGCCGCACAGTGGTAAAAATGGACTTGTCCCAACTTTTTGGGAATTTGTCGACACCATGGAATTTGGAAACAACAGATTTTTCCCTTAAAATTGTATATTCTCTCAGTTTAAACTTTTGATCTGTGATTTGTGTTCTATTCTGAATAAAATATTAGATGTTGGCACCTCCACATCATTGCATTCAGTTTTTATTCACAATTTGTTTAGTGTCCCAACTTTTTTGGAATCCGGTTTGTACTTCTGCCAAAAATGTGAGAATAAGAACCAGCAAAGATCACTTCCAAGTGTGTTTATAGTCATACCTGACTCAGTGCAGTGGTCCTGTGCTCGGGAACTGAGGCACTGATAAAGGCTCCTACGAAGCTCCAGGTTATGGAACCATACTTGCAGGAATGTGTTGACGTAGCATGTTGCACCAAGATTAGTCAGGCCAACAAATGTGTTCTGGATGGGCACAAATGCAGACATTAGACATCTTGTGAAGTTCTACCAACTGTGGCCATATGAAAACTGACAAGAAAACACCAGATAAATGAACAATTTATAAGTAATTTTAATCATAAGTATGTGCAGCTGATGAAAGACATACCTTGTCTCTGCGTTCTGAATTTGGGTCATCAATGTTATGGAAAGTGTTTTCATCAATCTGTCCAAGCCATGTTTGTTCACCAATACCCACAAGACAGTTTGGATTCCCTTTGCAGTTTCTCCTAGAAGAGGCAATCATACCAACTTGTTAATCATGCTCCTTTAAACATCTACTAGTGGAGGGTAGAGCTGTCATTTCTATTCTGGGTCGTGCCGGGACAGAACAATGTGCTGGATGGGCGGGCAAGGTTGGTGTCGGGCTTTTTTTTCATTCAATCTTTATTTAGACAGGTAAATCCCATTGAGCCTCGAGGACTCATTTACAAGAGACCTGAATTCAACAAAGAATGATGACAACAATGCACAACAGTGACAACAATAAACAGTTATAAAAAGTCATACTCCAGTTTGTTTTTGTTTGTTTTTTTAAACAAATAGGATAGCTAAAAAAAAAAGTTAAAAATAAAAAACAGCTAGATTCTAAGGCGAATGTACAAAACTAAGAACAGGAACATGTCTGCATTGGTCCGTGCCAGGAGTCAAACAGACTCTTAAAGCCACTTTGAGAGGTCAAGGTCGAGAGCTTCAAATCTTTTTGTAAGGTATTCCAGGAAACAGGAGCGGAGTAGGAGAAGGCCCTTTTGCCTAGTTCAGTCCTCATTGAGGGAACACTGCAGGTAATAATGTCCTGAGAGCGCACGCCGTAGCTGCACTCACGCAGAGACATGAAGGAGATGTATGAAGGCAGCAGACCAAGAAGTGATTTAAAGATGAAAATGTACAGGTGGGAGAGTCTGCGTGAAGTTAATGATGTCCAGTTAACCAGTGAATACAGGGTGCAGTGGTGGGTACGATAATCACAGCCAGTTATGAATCTTAGTGCACCATGATAGACAGCATCCAACATCTGCAGGGTTCTTGTAGGAACGTTCATGTAAATAATGTTACCGTAATCAATGGAGGGAAGGAAGGTCACAGTTACAAGGTGTTTCCTAGCATTCAGGGTTAGACAGGATCTGTTTCTGAAAAAGAAACCCAGTTTAACTTTCAGTTTCTTTACCAAGTTTTCCACATGGAGCTTAAAAGAGAGATGCGAGTCGACCAAGATACCCAAATATTTATAGGAATCAACAAACTCAATCGGGACACCATTTGAGGATAAAATCGGAGGAAGAACTGCTGGGACCAACTTCCTATTTGAAAAAAGCATCCCTTTAGTTTTGTCGGCATTTAGTACAAGTTTGAGGCGGAACAAATCTGTCTGGATGATGTTGAATGCAGATGTCAAAAGCTGGAAAGCCTTAGCAACAGTTTTAGCTCGACAATAAACAACTGTGTCATCAGCATAGAAATGTATGGATGCATTAGGGATGTTTTTACCTATACTATGTATGTAGATTGTAAAGAGGGTGGGTCCTAAGACTGAGCCTTGTGGTACACCATTGTTGACTGACATTGTTGATTGTTGACACCACTTCACCACTCGCTCCCCACGAGATTGGATGCTTCTCCCCCTCCCTCTCTGCTTTGCTTTGCTGCTCTGTCTGTCTGTGAAACTGCTGTGAGACTCTCTTGCATTTCTTACGAACCATAATTATGGACTTGTTTTGACCAGTTGGTCTCTCATCTCAATTTACAACATTTCTTCGAAGAGAAGACAGGCTTTGGGCGAGCCGATTTACCCTGTTGGCACGTACGCAGCTGGATATCTCATCGACTGGAAAACTTGATGATGTGTCTATCTCTGCTGCCATCTGTGGATTTTAAGGGCGCATATTTAATTGGATTTTCGATAACTGGTTCCTGCTTTTTGGATTCAGCTGGTGCTGGTTTTATCTACAATCAAGGAAGTCGTCAGCAGCAAATTTGGACCCGATCATTCTGCTTGCCTTTATGATGGCTTGGTTTGTGTCTCGTGTACCCGGACACAAATGCTTTGGGCTGAAAGGATCAGATCTTGGGGATTTTACTCAGTCACGTTCCATCGGTGTGACCATGTTATTTTGGACATTTCGGAACAGAGTTGACCAACACAGATTCAAGGTAGATGTCATTAAGTTCTGCCTGTACCCAAAACAACTGTGTGTTTATCTAAGTTGGCTCCCTCTTGGCTGGCCTTGAAGGCCACCTTATCTGAATTCGCCTGGAGAACATGTGATCTGACGCTCACCACCCCCTCCCTGAGGAATTTCCAACTGATAACCAGATGAACCAGCTGAAAAAACTTTGTGTCATCATTTCAGGACTCTTGGATTCTCATAGATGTTATTGTTGGCCATTTCTCGACATACCTCAAGAATGTTTATGGATCTCACCGGAGGACATTGACTGATTACAGTGACCTCGAGAGCATCTATAAGCGTTGTTGACTGCTCTCGTCTCTGATTGCAGAATGTCTACGTAAATATGTGCTTCTTTGTGCGAGGTGGTTTTTTTTTTTTATATTAGAGGTTCTTTTCCTCAGGCAAGAAAAAAGTCTGATGGGAATTTTTTTTCGCCACCAACTCCTACATGTGTCCAGTTAACCACTGTTTATGTCTGTCCAAACAGGTCTCACTTGTAAATGAGTCTTCGAGGCTCAATGTGATTTATCTGTTTAAATAAAGGTTGAATGAATGAAAAATAAATAACTGAAGGAAGTACCATTATGTTGAACACATTGCCTCCGGTCTGAGAGATAGTTAAGAGAACCAACCAATGGTGTGTTCTGAGAAACCGATTTCTGAGAGCTTATGACACAAGATGTTATGATCCACAGTGTCAAAAGCTTTAGACAGGTCTAAAAAAAAGTGCAGCACAATAATCCTTAGCATCCAGTGCTTCAACAACGCAATTAAGAACCTTCAGTGAAGCAGTTGTTGTGCTGTGTTGTTTCCTGAAACCGGATTGATGTGGAGGTAAGATGTTAAATGAGTCCAGGTAATTTTTGATTTGAGAGTTTATCAGTTTTTCTAGAACCTTGGCTAAAATGCAGAGTTTAGATATTGGTCGATAGTTGTTCATTGAGGTGGGGTCACCTCCCTTCAGCAAAGGAAGAACAAAGGCTGTTTTCCAAGTGTCTGGAATGGAGTCTTGTCTCATGGAGAGATTGAAGATGTGGGTAACAGGGGCTGTGATGATATGAGCAGCCAGCCTTAAGAAATAAGGTGGAAGTTAATCTGGACCTGCAGATTTTTTAGGATCAAGATCTTTTAACAGTTTATTAACCTCACTGACTGAGAACGGAGAAAAAGAAAAGCTGTGATTAACTGAGGATTGACTTGTAGGAGGGATTTGATTTGTAGAAGTTTGGTTATTAAGTGAAGTGGCTGATTTTCCATTAGTAACTGTGTCAAATAAAGAACTAGAAGTAACAAAATGTTTGTTGAAACAGTTCAGGATCTCGTGCTTATTTGACACAGGAACAGAGTTAACGAGAAGTTGTGATGGGAGGTCAGATGATTGGGGGGTGCCTGAGAGAGATTTGATGGTTTTCCAGAATCTGTTAGGGTCATTTAGATTTTTGGAGGTCTGAGATAAGAAATAGTTGCGTTTTGCTGCTTTGACGGCAGTTGTACATTTATTCCTCATCTATCCAAAACTCAACCAATCAGTGTCTGAGACAGATTTTCTCGCTGTGGCTCAAAGATGATCTCTCCTGTGCAGGAGGTCAGATAGCTCTGGAGTAAACCACGGGCTGTCTCGTCCCTTTATTCTGAACTGGCGAAAAGGCGCATGTTTGTTCACAAAATAAATGAAACTATTATGAAAATAATTCCAAGCGGAGTTCACGTCATCAATTATAAGAATACGATGCCAGTCAAAGTGAGACAGATCCCAGAGGAATGACTGTTCACAAAAACGTTTCAAATCCCTTTTTTTGATTAATCTGGGCTTAGAAGGTGAAAGTTTAATATCTCTCAGAGTCGCTGTCACACAGTGATCACTCAAAATATTAGCGAATACGCCTGTACCAAGGAATTTGTGAGGCATATTTGTTAGAAACAGGTCTAAGATGGAGGATTTTTCAGGACGTTTTTGTTTAATCTAGTGGGATAATTGATCAATTGGGTAAGATTGAGAGACAGGCAACATTCCTTGAATTTATCATAGAGGGGGTCGACTTTAGGGCTGCAACTAACGATTATTTCAATAATCGATTCATCGGCCAATTATTTTTTTTCGATTAATCGATGAATCGGCAAAAAAAACCCACAACATTTTAATTTCCACCCCTTTATTCCAAAATTGAACATTTGACTGACACAGCAATTCACACAAAAAACAAGTTGCTATTTTACTATTCTATTAGTAAAATATTGAATAATAAAAAATAAAAGTTAGTCAAATAGCTTAAAAAAATAAATGTACACAAAAATATATACAAATGTGTCTTTATACCTGCACAATATGTAGCTACTTTGTAAAATGTGTCATTGAGGGAAGAGTGTAACCTGGATTAAAAGTGTGGATTATTGTAACCTGGATTAAAAGTGTGGATTATTGTAGTGAAGCCTTCATCTTCAACCATCGACAGAGGCCTCATGTCAGTGACGATCATGTTCAGGATGTTTCAGTGAAGACAGCTGCTGCTGTGGTGTCCATGATGTCTGTCCATCATGAAGGATGTTGTTGTTTGTTGTTGTTTTCTGGAATGAGAGAGCAAATATGTATTATAACAATTTACAGCAACTCAAGAAATGCCTTGTTTCACTTACAGTGTTAGGTTCAGGCAAAAGTAGCTAAAAGAGCAATTAAACACACAGACACACACACATATATATATAAAATACTTAATTACACACATTTGAGTAGATGTAATAAATTACTTTAATTACTGTTTAAATGCAATTCATCTTGCCATACCTGCAGTATCTTCAGACTTTGCCAACAAATTAAAAGTTGAAGTTTAATCATTAAATTATTATCTTTGTGTTAGATTTATTTAAAAATCACATTTAAACACTGCTTGTACCAATTAAATAAAATAAAAAGTAACACACGTTCTCTATCACCATCATTAATCAGATAAACAAAGAAGCAAGCAGCAGCTTCATCTATCAGACAGACTGACGTTACATTTTCTCTCTTGAAACAGAACAATGTGTTAAATTGTAGAGACTCACCTGCAACACGAGTTGGG